TAAGAGCCTCAGTGGGGATACTATCACAATGGCGGGGGTACATGTGAAAGACGAAGAAAGAGGTCACATGGCGAGACAGGAAGCAAGAAAGATTCAGGAGAGGTGTCAGCCTCTCTCATAACAACAACTTCCAAAGAAATTCCCATGAGAAGGAAAACACACTCCCAAAAGAAAAGCATTAATTCTTCTTAAAGGTCTAATCACCTCCCACTAGGTAGGCCTCACCTGTTCCAAGTTTCCACCACTTCAACATTGTCACTCTGGCACCAAGCTTCCAACACATGAAGCTTTGAAGGACACACTCAAATCATATCTGAACCACATAGGTTCCAAAATTCTGGAAAAAGCAAAACTGTAAAGACAGTGAAAAGATCAGTGGTTACTAAAGGCTGGGAAAGAGCAAGGATAAAGGGACAGAGCATAGAGGATTTTTAGGGTGGGGAAACTGTATGATACTACAGTGATGGATACCTGTCATTATACATTTGTCCAAACCTACAGAAAGCACACCAACAGTGAACCTAATGTCAACTACAGGCTTTGTGTGATTATGACATATCAGTGTAGGTTCATCAACTCTAACAAATGGACCTCTGGAAGGTTATGTAGTTAATAATAAGGGAGGATGGCCTTGTGTGGGAGAAGGGAAATCTCAGTATCTTTCTCTTAACTTTGCTATGTACTTAAAAATACTCTAAAAAAATAAAGTTGTTTTAAAAAAATACAGAGAGAAAAAAAAATAAACCTCTTTTATGGATATCACTCCCTTTTTTCTACTTTCTTTTTTGCTTTCTTTTGATGGAAGCCAAAAGGACATCAGCCCATCATTGGGTTCCCTGACACATGCCTAAGGGCACACTTTATAGTTTTTATTGAAAAGGAGACCATGTATTTTAACTGCAGGTAGTCAGCAAAGTTGACTTTTTTCATAAGGCACAATATTTTACTGATTTCAAGATGCACATTTTTTTAACATCACTGAAATTTAAAAGTGTTTTTAAACACTGCAAAAGAGTTGACTTGGTAGCAGTTTCTTCTAAGAAAAAAGCAAAATAATGTTGCATTTTGCAATGTATGGGCTTGTAGATTCAATGAAAACTGTATTTAGAGAAGTCAGATTTAATTCTCTGTTGAGCTAGTTTGGGTGCTCTAATTCCACATAAAGCAGGACAGCTTGCAGACACAGCGTGGGTCTCTCAACAGCTCTAAATCCACCTCTTTCTTGGGTGACCTGCTGGGGCCTCAAGAGCACTGAGGAGACAACCACTTGATAGTACCCCCTACTTGCACAAATCTGCCCATCTCCTGCCTCAACTGCCAGCTCAAAACGACCCTTCCTAAAATTTCTAGGAAATAGAAATTTTAGGTCAAAATATCTCTGCAAAAGGCTTGTTTTTGGATTATTGTGTGGGAGCAGGGATATATGGGATGGTAACAAGTTACCTGGTAACAAGACTTTGTCTGGGTCCCTGTTACAATATAGCCATACCTAGTCAACATTCATTTCATTCTATCTTTTTTTTTTCCCAACTAGAAAGTTGATCTACTTATGCCTACTCTATTAGGCTCAGAACTTTCCAAGGTCAAGAAAATTCTTGCTATCTTTGCATTACTCTGTATCCTACAGAGTGCTTGGCACATCAAAGATATCCAATGTGTTGCTGAATAATTCCAAACATCCCTCCATCTAAAGTACTCTGCCCTGAGAATCTTCCTGTATTATATAATTAATTCCAATTTAAAATGTCAAAGACCAGAAGCCTAAAGGGTGGGAGAGTATAAAAAAAGACTCCAGAAAAAAAGTGAACCTCTAAGTCTATTCTGCAAATACTAATTTCAGACACTGTCTGGATAATGCATAACTCCTAATGACTACTAATCTGAATGTGTACCTTATTCCTCCATACTTAAAATTATGAAAGGCTACGATAAAACAATGGCACTGAGAAAACAGTCTCCTTCTTAATTGTGCCATGTCAGCTGTAGATATCCTTTCATGCATGTAACTAATTCAAACCTTCACTATTTCATTTAAGTCAGATATGCTTAAATATCATCCAAGAAGATAGCAAAACAAATAATGCACAAGCATGCCCCTCCCCCAACTCCACAATTCCATTCTCTAATCCAGAGAATGTCATCCCTGGCCAGACAAATAGAGAGGACCTGAACAGACACTTCTCAGAAGAGGACATACAATCAATCAACAAATATATGAAAAAAAATGTTCATCATCTCTAGCAATTAAAGAAATGCAAATCAAAACTACTCTAAGATATCATCTCACTCCAGTCAGAATGGCAGCTATTATGAAGACAAACAACAATAAGTGTTGGTGAGGATGTGGGACATTGCTGGTGGGACTGCAAATTGGTGCAGCCAATATGGAAAGCAGTATGGAGATTTCTTGGAAAACTGGGAATGGAACCACCATTTGACCCAGCTATCCCTCTCCTCGGTCTATACTCAACGACTTAAAAAGAGCATACTACAGGGACACAGCCACATCAATGTTTATAGCAGCACAATTCACAATAGCTAAACTGTGAAACCAACCTAGATGAAACCAACCTTCAATAGATGAATGGATTAAAAAATGTGGCTTATATCCACAATGGAATATTACTCAGCAATAAAAGAGAATAAAATCATGGCATCTGCAGATAAATGAATGGCGTTGGAGAAGATAATGCTAAGTGAAGTTAGCCAATCCCCAAAAAACAAATGCTGAATGTTTCCTCTGATATAAGGAGGCTGATTCATAGTGGGGTAGGGAGGGGGAACATGAGAGCAATAGACAGACTCTAGATAGGGCAGAGGGGTGGGAGGGGAAGGGCAGGGAGTTACAAGGATGGTGGAATGTGATAGACATCATTATCCAAAGTACATGTATGAAGACACAAATTGGTGTGAACATACTTTGTATACAACCAGAGATATGAAAAATTGTGCTGTATATGTGTAATAAGAATTGTAATGCATTCTGCTGTCATTTATTTTTTAAAAAAAATCAATTAAAAAAAATTTTTTTTCAGAGTAGAAATTAGAAGTTTATTAAAGGACAGCAGAAAAGACTTCTCCTGGAGGAAGAAGGGGACCCAAGAGGTGGAATCCCTCAATTAAAAACTTTAAAAAAATAACAGCCAATACAACAATATCAGTGACCAGTGTAAAGACTGGAAATGACACAGAAGTATGGAAGTGTCAAGAGCCACAGGAGGCAAGAAATGCACCCAGGACTTTCAGTGGCAGGAGCCATGAAAATACCTGGGAGTCAGGCCCTTCTTTCTTCAGAGACCTCTTCTCTCCTAGAGTAACAAGGAGTATTCTTACCCAAGTCCCAAACAGGAGACCTATAAAGAGCAGATTAAAGTGGGTTTGAACCTGGATCATATCAACTTAGTAACATGAGAGGGTGAAGACTCCAACTTCATTTGACATCACCAAGGCTCCAGAGGGTCCTCACTACATCACATAACAGTGTCACTGTAAATGGTACTCAGTGATCAACTGAAAAACAAGGAGCAAGTGAGTGGATGTGGGGAGGCAGCCACTGTACCCTAAACACAAAATAGGAATAAATCCTGCTATCTCCTAGTCCATTTAGCTGTGTTTACCAAGCTCTTACTCAGTGCAAAGGAACAACATCTAAAGAGAGGGGGGAGGCAGGAGGAAGAGGCGACAATCAAAAATCCTGTAACTTTTTCTCATGAGGATGGCCTCCAAGGGCCATGCCTCTATTTGTTGTAAATGGTTCATAGAATCTGAAATCTCTCTCTTTAGCTTGAATCTCTGGCCATATCCATTAAACTAAACCTTTCCCTTAAAGAAGCTAGAGATGTATATGGGGGAAGAACAATGTATCCGCACAGATCTGCATGCTACTATGGGTACCACTAAGAGAACTGATGATGGATAACAGAAAGGGTAGCCACCTCAAGGAAAGCTCTTTTGAGACATTCTCGCCATGCTCAAGATCTCTGCTGTCAACAGAGAAAAGACCCAGAGAGTTCTATCACGCTAATCAGGAATTTACAACAGCACAAATGAGACCTTGTGGCTGTACCAAGTTCCCCAGAGCCAGAGGCACAGGCGCTACATGCTCAACACCATTAAGACAGGCAACCGCCCATCTTATGTTGATCTTGGGATTTTTAATAGATAAAACAGTTTTCAGTGGTGATGTAATGGGACATGAATTATGTGAATTGCCTGAAATTTTATTCCTTTTCCCAATATAAACCCATACTTGGCTAAAATATCTTCATTTAACTTTCTTTGCTTTTTCTAATTTCATTACATTTAAATCTTAATTTTCTATTGATTTCTAAGTAGCTGAATGGTCTGAAATTGCTTCAATGACAAACAACCTGGCATTGGTTTTTATACAAACCATCTTCCCACTCAGTGTTCTAAACAGGGAACTCCTTGTCTGTTCTTTTAGGACTCCCTATTTCTGTTAATGGGACTCCTTCCTTTTAATTACACAGGTTTCTAACCTCAGTGTCTCCTTGGTTCCTCCTCTGCCATTATTCCAATATAATCAGCATCAAATCTGAACTCCTTTACCTACTCAATGGTGCTTTCCTTCCTCTCTGTTCAAGCCACTTCTGCTAAGTCTGACCTCCTCATGCTTCACTGAAACCTGGCTTCCCCGCCTCCAGTCTGGTTACCTTATTTCTATGTTACTTAGATATAGCTGACAAATTAACCTGGAAAAAAAAAAAAAAGCAGGGATCATGAGACTTCCCTGTTCAATACCATTAAGAACTCTCTCTCAACGTGGGGGAAGTCCATAGTTCTTAGCCTCACCACACAGCTTAATATTAAATCTTTCTGTTCTCCTTAAATCCCCAGTGCACCAGCCACTCACTGACCTCCACTCATGCTTAGATCCAGGCCATCATAACTCATGCCTGCAATTTCCTTCAGTCCCAAGCTCTGTATAGCCAAACTTCACCTTTTAGATGGACAGTTTAATTGTAGTCTAATCCCCCAAACCTTCCTTGACCACCACAGATGGAAGTGATCCCTCACTCCTCTTTGATGACACTTCTCTCTGCTAAGCAATGTGCTTGTTCACCCCTGTGGTCTCATAAACTCCCTCAACTGGGACTTTCCTGAAGGCTGACCTCTGTGATTGTCCCTGTGGGGACCTAGTGACCTACCAGGCCCACAGCAGTCATTACTCAACACCCAAAACTTTGCTGCAGTCTCAGTGTCCCATTCTCAGACATCCTGCAGCCAGTACTGCTCAGACCATAGGAAACTTTCTCAACGAAAACAGAATTTCCATGCCACAATTCCGAAACAGGTAAATATTCCCCCTTAATCATGATTATTTTCTTTTTTTTAAATCACGAAAAGGAGCACACTTGTTACAGGATTACGGCTGTAGAAGGCAGATGATGACCTGGACAGGAGCAGGTATGCTCCATGCTACATTATTACAGAGTGGGATTTTCGTGCCCAGGAACGATTCATATACACAGTGGCCAGTTGTAAAAACGCGCAAAGGACCGGCGCTTGGGGGGGGCGGGGCAGGCAGGGGAGAATCCCGGGAGTTCTACCCTGTTGAATCCCGGATCCAAACTTTTCCCTCAGACAGCGCGGTACCAGGCACCCGCCGGGACCCGCTGCCGACGCTACACTACCAGAGTCAGAACCGGAAGAGAAAAACGCGTGGGATGGGGAAGGCAAAGGTGACTGAGGAATTGCTAGAGCTTCGGGGCTGGCCCTTCATGTTCCGGAGAAAGCGAACAAGCGTCGCGCTATTCAGGGGTGTTGGCCGGCGCCAGGCGAGAACTAGGATGGGGCAGAAAGCAGGGTGGAGATGCTGGTGCTGATGCTGAGGCTGCCGCGCCCAGTGACAGCCTTTCCCCCACCCACCCGGGCTGCGCGCCTGGTTTTTGCGGCCCCTGGACGCCCAGTGCGCTCCGGCCCATTCCGGCCCGGGCAGGCCCTGAGGGCTGCGCAGTCTGGGGCCGCGGCCGCTACTCACCCGGAGGGTTGACCGCCGCCGGGGTTGCCATCTTGCTGGGAGGATCGGCGCGCGCGGAGCGCGCAGCGGAGACCAGCGCAGGCCAGCGCCGCGGCCACACAAAGGACGGCGCGGTCGGGCGCCGCTCCCCCACGCCTCCCACTGCCGCGGCCCGCCGCCCCCGCCTCTATCTGCTCCTCCTCCCTGCGCGGCCTCCTCCTCCCGGTTCAGCCTTTGTCGCGCGGCGGGGAGCGCCCTGCCGGGCTCCCGGGTCCGAGACGTAGCACCGCGAGACTTGGGGCTGCCGGCAACTGGACCCCCCAGGTTGGGGCCGCTGGCCAGCCTGGAGCCCCTCAGGCCCGCGCAGTGCTGGGGCTGCCCAGGCTGGGGGTTGCTGGTATACACCTCTTTTTCGTACCCGCTCAGCCTAGGTTATCCCCCACGCCCACCCTCCAGGTGTTCGGGACGCATCACTGAAAGGCGCTGTCTTTTCTGGGGGCCGGGGCAGGGTGGGTGAGGGATAGATCCATTTAGATTCAGAGGGAAACGGGTCCTTAGAGATGGCCACGAGAAACAAAGGCGCCCCAGTGCTGCCCACTTAGCATGCCAGGGCCGCTCTGCTTGAATCCCAAGGCCAGGGACGCCGTCCCAGTGCCGAAGGGAGTCGCCGGGTGCCCAGAAATTCCTACTCCCCCACCCCCACCATCGCACTTCAAGGCCACCAGTGCACGCAGCAGCAAAGGGCACTCAGCAGACACCCAAGCACAGGCAGCGGGCCCAGAAAATTGAGAATGGCTTGGCTTTGAGTAAGTCGCTCAGTTCTGCTCCCCTTGCTGTGGTGACTGTCATTGTTTATTTTTTGAGGTCCTTGAAAGAGCCTTATTTACACTGCAAATTGAGAATTTAAAAAGATTTTTAAATAGTTTTATCTGCATATATTGGTGAAGGTAGGGTGTAGGGAACTTGGAAGGGTTGTTTTCTACTGGCCACTAGGATCTCTGAGAGAGATCAAGGCTTATAGAAATGACACCACCACAGTAGGTGCCCTATAAAGCTGAGATGGAAAAATGAATACAGCCTCAGGTAAGAGCCCAGAGGGGCAAGATGGCTCCTAAACATAGACATGTTTACAAAAATATCACACTACCTTAAATCTTTGCAAAGAAGCATTTGAGGAAATAGAGAATGCTTGAAATGTATTTCCAAATAAACACTCTTTGGGGAGTTATTTGTCACTTTTGGTCTAATAGTTTCAGTTTGACAAATGTTGAGTTCTGCTGTGTACTAGGCTCAAAGCTGGGTGTTGGGCATGCAGGGGATGAAACAAGGCATCTGCACTCAAAAGGCAGCTGCTTGGAGGCTGAGACAGAGTTCCTGGATACACATCTCCAGCCAGTGGTCACTGCCAAATGAGCTAGAGCAATGGAGGCCCTAGCAATTGGAGAAAATGAGTAGGGTATAGAAAGAGAAGACATTTCAAGAGAAAAGTGAAGCATTGTGCATTCAAGCCAAAAAAGAGAGGCTAAGGTCAACCTGGATATCAGCTGGGCTATAACTCCATCCCACATTAAAGTATACTTCTCTGATTCTCCTAGCACCAAGCCAAAGAAGAACTCTGCATCTCTTGTCCATGTCCCCAAAGCAACACATTAATAGCTATGTGTGCTTAGTTAATGCACAATATATACTTGAATGAAGGTTTCTTAAGAAGAAGTTCCCTTTGCTCACTCATCAAACAAGGTAGAACTCCATCTCAGGTGTTTCTGCTATTCAGAGTGCCTTCTTGGCCCTATGCCTCACAGGCAATCTATCCCTGGCAGCCCATTTATAATCACAGCACCAGTATCACTGCAGCTGTCTCCTACCAAGTTCTTTCCCTTTTTCAGCTTGCTTTCTGTCTAAAACAAAATATATATATATATATATATATATATATATATATATATTTTTTTTTTTTTTTTTAATCTACTTTTTTTGATGTGGTGCTGAGGATCAAACCTAGGGCCTCATGCATGCGAGGCAACCGCTCTACCACTGAGCTACAACCCTGGCCCCCTTCTCTGGCTTTCTACTTCCTTAAAAACTGAGCAAGTTCCCCTTCTTGGCATTTATATATATCCATTTAGCAAGCATTGCAGCCACTACATGTGGCTAATTTTGTTTCCAATATGTTTCTAATATTCTCCCTCAAAAATAAAATTGCAGTTGGTATGACTGGTATGACTGTTACCCACATACATCTAGCCATGCATGTTTGTTGACAAGTCTTACTTTCCTCTGACCATTTTTCTAAACCCTACTGTCTAAATATCTTTGGTACTGAATCTTTCACAAGCCACCTTTTACTTGTTCACTGCAATAAAAGACAGCAGGTAGACAACTGCTAGAAATGGGAACACTTTCCATAGTCAGTGTAAGTCTGTTGCATGTTGTAGTTTTGGGTAAATAATGAATATGTTTGAATTTCACAAGGAAGAGTCACTTTCATCTTTTCCACATCACTGAACCTCAGAGGCAGAAAGGACCTTTGCCTTCACCCAATTCAGTTTCCCTAGAGTTTGCAAAGTAGGAAACAAACTCAGGGTAAAGAGGTGACTTTCTCAAGGTCATGTAGCTCATACCACAGATAAGACTTAGAACTGAGTCACTCAAAGTGCTGGGGTTTGGAGACTGGGATGGGGTGGTGTGGTGTGGGGAGCAATGGAAAAGTGGTAGAGAAATAGATGATTTGGGCCCTGGCCCACCTCCTCTCTTGTCTCCCAGTATTAAATAGGCTAAATGCTCAGAAACATTGATTGTGGATGAAAGGCCCCCTCGTAAGTAAACAGTCTGAAATGCAGCAGTTAGGCATTGTTGAATACTGAGTGGCGTTTACACAATACAGTGGTCTCCTGCTAATTATGAGAGTTAGTAGACTGTGACCAGTTAACAGGCTTAGGAATTCCACTCAACCTTTAAACAACCTAGAACTCTTTTAAATTCCAAAGAAGACTGTTGAATTTAAGGCTAAGATTTGCATTAAAAAAAACAAAACAACAACAACAACAACAACAAATCACTGAGAAACAACCCAGAAATGATCAGGGTTGACCTACCACTTGTTAATAAACACCAAAGTCCCCAAGCCTTTCTCCCCCTGGCCTTTAAACTTGGTGAGAGAAAGTAGTCACCCCCATTCTACTTCATATCCTTAACACTGGAGACAAAGAATTTCTGTGTATAAAATGTAATGGTTCTGGCTCAGTGACAGAATGCTTGCCCAGATGTGTGAGGCACTGGGTTTGATTCTCAGTACCACATAAAAATAAACATATAAAATAAAGGCATTGTGTCCATCTACAACTATGAATTTTTTTCTTTAAAAAAATGTAATGATTCAAGGGATTTTTATCTCTTTTTAACTTCACTTTAAAATGGCAGGAGACTGGAATGCAGCGTGAACTTCTATGGAAAAAGAGGGAAGAGAAGGGCAAATAATGGACTGCTGTGCAGATAATCACAGACTTTTTCTCTGCTCTTCCCTACTCCTCCATTTTTTAATAATTTCTTTCTTTGCTGGAGAGAAAAATTTATAGGTCTCTGTTATCCCCATTCTTACCTTCTCATCTTTCATTCCTTTTGGGGTAGGGGAGAGTTCCTGGGGATTGTACCCAGGGATTCATGCATACTAGGTAAGTGCTCTACCACTGAGCTACATTTCCGCCCATTTTTAATTCTGCAAAAGCAACAATTGCCAGCAGGCTCTCTATGTAGCAGCTCTACCTCTCCACCCTGCTTTCTCTATTAAGGTCTCTCTTTTACACCAAGAATCACAGACAAAACACCAGAGGTGGATGAAGCCTTAGTTTTATACAAAAAAAGGTATAAGCCTGAGGGAAAGGGAAAATACTGGGGAATGGTACTGGCCAAATTATAATGTTATATGGTGTGCACATATGAATATGTAACAAAAAATTCCACCATTACATACAACTATAATGCACCAACAAAAGATATGGGAGAAAAAGGAAAAGGCATAAGCCTTTCTTCTTTTGAAGCAAAAAGCGTGGTGCAGATCTTTGTTCTATTGCTGAGTTACTCTACCCCCAGAACTTTGTTAAACCTCCCTAAGTCTCACTTTCCCCATCTGTAATCTTGGGATGATGTTACCTGCAATGCTAAGTTATAGCTAAGGTAATGAGGTAATCCATGTACTCTATACACTTTAGAGACTAAAAAGTTCTTCTGATAGCATCACGGAGGGAAGAGGAGTGAGGCAGGCTCCTGCCCAAGAGAGAGGTCAGATGGGGAAGCTCATCATGCTGAGTTTCTTGAAGAGGGAGAAGAAGAAAGGA